CCCATCTCATAAGAAGACCTTGTGTCCTTGCTCATAATCAGGGCTGGCCTTGTGGAAAGGCTGCGCGGGAGATCGAGAGTCACCTGGACGAATTGGGCAGTGAATGAACGAATGAAGAAATGAATGAACAAATATTCAGCCAGCCAGTCAGAAAAGCCACCCCTTCAGTGCTCCGGGAGAGGGTCTGCATGCTCCAAAATGGCCCTCTTCAGAGAGGTATCTCCTCCTTCATTTTAATGTTTATCTACCTACCTACCTACCTACCTATCTTCTACATAATTTCTATCTCTCTATTTATCTCTAAGCCATCTTCTCTGTCTGTCTCTCTAATCCATCTCTCTCTCTCTCTCTCTGCCTCTAGCTATTGCCTACCTATCCTCTGTTTTATATATTTGTCTATCATCTCTAGGCTATCTTATCTACCTACCTACCTACCTCTGTCTGTCTGTCTGTCTACCTCTACCTACCTACCTACCTCTGTCTGTCTGTCTGTCTGTCTGTCTGTCTGTCTACCTCTACCTACCTACCTGCCTGCCTGCCTATCATTTAAATGCCTCCTTCCCTTCCTCTCATATTTATTTAGTGATGAAGTGTGTCTGCCGCCCATCTCCCTCCGAGAAGCGGCTCTATTCGGCTCCGCCACGATCCCGACAGCCCACCCAGCTCCACAGCCAGCCCAGTTTCCTTGCCTGGAGCGGGTAATGAGCCCGTATCGGCCCTCGCCCCCCTGACTTGCCCCCTTCGCCTCCAAGTCGCCCTCCTCCAGCTGGGTGGGGGAGGCCGGGCGCGGGAGTTGGGAAGGGGGTGGGCGAAGCGGGAGGCGGGAGGCGGGCGAGGCGGAGCCCGCGGTGGGAAGCAGCAGCCCGGGAGGAGGCGCCCAGCGAGGCCAGGCAGTGTCACGGGTGGCGCAGCGCTGGGCAGGGTGGCTCCGTCCAGGGTGGCGAGCGAGATGAGCGACCTGGAGAAAGGCAGCCGCGGGCAGCGGGAGCCGCTCAAGATCGGTGAGTCGGGGGCCGGCAGGGGAAGGGACCGAGGGGGGGGGGGGGCGGGGGGGGGGGTCGGCGGGGGGGGGCGTCCTTGGCGGGGCCCCGCGGCCAGGGGGGGGGGGGGGGTCCGGGAGGGGGGGGGGGGGGGGGCTTGGCAACCCCCCCGCTCGGCCCCTTGGAGGAGGAGGAGAAGCCCCTTTGGCCCTGGGGTTGGGGTCTTTTTGGGGTGCTGAAGAAGACCAAACCTTAGAGGGGCTGGACTAGAAGACCTCGAAGGTCCCTTCCAGCTGTAGTCTGACTGATTGGTTGATTGATCTCCGCCGTTGGCTCTTCCTTGGGTGATCTCAGCTCTGGCCTTTGGCAGGAAGGCCCCGCCGTTGGGCTCCGGGCCAAGTGGGGAGGGGGCGCTTCAGAAGGGAATGCCAGCCACGGGGGAAGAGCCTCTCGTGGGGGGGGGGGGAGCGGGCTCCATTCGTGGAGGGAGCCCCACCGCCCCGGAGGACTCAGCCAGACAGTAAGAAGGGTCTCCCCCGTCTTCTTGGGACTGGCCGAAACCAGAGCCAACTTGGGCTTGGCCAACCGGATGCCCCTTCCTTCCTTTACGGATTAACAGACTTGAAAAGGACCTTGTAGGTCATCTAGTCCAACCCCCCTCCCCAGCAGGAGACCCTACACCATTTCTGACAGATGGCAGTCCAGTCTCCTCTTGAAAGCTTCCAGTTTGCCAGGAGCCACTCGTGGGAACGTTGATCGCAAGGAACGAGCAATAGCTGGGAAAGTTCCCAATTAATAAACATTTGCTAATAATAGTAATAATAATAATAACAATAATTTAAAAAAAAAACAGCTAAGGAAGGGTTTTGGGAGGAAGAGCCAAATCAGGGAATTTGATCCTGGACGATCAGAGATAATAATCGGGGTGATTTTGGAAAAGAAGAAACCATATAGTCTGTAATACCAGTAAATTACAGTCACAGAATGTTAACAGAGTTCTTTGAACTTTAACTGGGCTGATATTTAACCTGTTAACCATTTTTCTTTCTTTCTCAGATGGATAGATAGATAGATGATAGATAGATATAATTTTATCATGTTTTATTTATCTATATATTAAATTATTGTATTTTATTCCGATTTCATTTGAAACAGTATTTTATTCCAATTTCATTTTAAATTGTTTTTATCCTATTTTAGTAATAATTTGTGTCTGGAACACTGCACTTCGATATGGCTAACCAATAAAGTAAATCTATCTCTATATATCTATCTCTCTAATCTCTCTGCGATGATTCGCTTAACCGACGTGGCAAGAAAAGTCATAAAATGGGGCAAAACTCCCTTAGCAAATTTCTCATTTAGCAACATAAATTCTGGGCTCAGTTGTGGTCAGTAAGTTAAAGTCTACCTGTAAGATGTAACAGTTTATAACTTTTGGAGCTGCTTTGCAAAAGACGAAGGGATTATAGTTGTAATAGATTGGTTGGGGTTCAACTAATGGAGATAATATGTGGGTTTTGGGTTTGTTTGTTTTTTGTCCTTTTGCCTTTTTAAAATCCACCCTTTTGAAATGATTTTGTCCAGTTTGGTTTTGTCTCTATTTAATGTGTTTTTGTCTTTTTCAAATCCAGTTTTTAATGTTTTCGTCTAGTTTTGTTTTGTCTGCTTAATCTTTTGGGGAGGGAGTTTGTATTTTAATCATTTGAATAAAGCAAAAATTGTAAACAAAAATGAATAAGCAAGAACGTCTGGAGTTCCAGTTAGGGACGCCAACAGCCAAAGCAATAGAGGAAATGGGTTTTTGTTTTTTTAAAGAAAAGGTTACTCCAGAGACATATCTGTTTACTCAACAAACTGTTGCTAATTACCCAGGGTCTTTGTGTAGCTACTGGTTGCACTAAGAAGAAACAGGCATGTTATTAGTTAGTTCCCCCAGAGATTTTCCTGTTTTAGGAAGCAAGCATATAGCAAAACAGTGTCCTAATATTGGAGGGGCCGCCCCAGAGAAGAGGAGGGGGTCAAGCTCTTCTCCAGAGCCCCTTCAGAAGGCAGGACAAGAAGCAACGGGCGGAAACTGACCCAGGAGAGAAGCAACCCAGAACGAAGGAGGGATTTCCTGACAGGGAGGACAATTAATCGGCGGAATGGCTTCCCTACAGAAGTTCTGAGTGCTCCATTACTGGAAGCTTTTAAGGAGAGACTGAACAGCCATTGTCTGAAACGGTGTAGAGTTTCCTGCCTAAGCTGAAGGGTTGGACTAGAAGACCTCCAAGGTCCCTTCCGACTCTTGTTATTCTGTTCCTGAAGGTTCAGCTTAAAACGCTTCCAATATAGCCCAGTGCTAGTAATGCAATTTAGAAAGGCAACTTTTAACGGCATTTAAGGGGATATGTCCCCAGATCACTCTATTTGTTTTGTTTTGCTTTTTGTTTTCGTTTAATTTATGTTGTAAACAAGCCCATCACTGTCCTATCTCCAAGGCTGACCCAGTTTATAAACAAGCATAAAGTTTGTGAAAGGCAGGAAGCCTTATGATGTCTCTGCCCACCTTCGGGCCTCTGGTTGATTTGTGGTGAGGGAGCAATAGGGTTCCTTCGTGCTCGACAGCATCATGCAACCCTGAATTTGATATTTAAAGCATCTCCCAGTAGGAAAGGAAATGTTTTGCCTCCACCCTACATGTATAATACTGTGTTCCCCCCAAAATAAGGCTGGGTCTTATATTAATTTCTGCTCCAAAAGATGCATTACAGCTTATTTTCAGGTTAGGCCTTATTTTTGAGGAAATTCGGTACTAAATGTATCCATCTGGCTGACATTCTTAACTGGGGTTTATATCTTGGGTAGGTCTTATATTACAAACATCCTGAAAAATCACCCTAGGGCTTATTTTTCAGTTGTATCTTCTTTTCGGGCAAACAGGGTAGAGAACCTGTAGAGATGTCGTAATTTCTCAATCGTTTCTCTGGAAATCACTCAGAGATGCTAGGAGAGATTTAATACATGACAAATGATGGTCTGCATCTCATAATTTGTACGCATGTGGGGAAGTCAATGACTAAGCCATAAGGTGATGCAACCACTTTATGGCTCAGGGTGGTGCAGGAATCTGGCCATTGTGGCTTAATCAAGAAACATGGTTACAACAGCCACAATTAAAGTGAGGTCATGAAGGCTCCTTTAACAGACGATCTCCTGCAGATCCAAGAAGTTCCTTCTGGTCTCCAGGATCCACCAGTCATGTTTGCAAGTTCTGGTAGATTCTCAATGGTTCCTTTTCCAAAGGCAGCTGGACTTCCTTGGTTTTTTTCCCCTCCAGTTCTTCAGCTCAGTTCTTCAACTGAAGAAGCGACACATTTCAAAGGGTGATTTTCCAAGGGGAAAAAAGACCAGGAAAGTCCAGCTGCTTTTAGGGGGGGAAAAAACTTTTGGGACAACCATGGATGATTGAGAACCTCCACAGACGTTTCCATAAGGGCCTCCTGAGAACAGAACAGGAAGGGCTGCAGATAGGACGCAGCTACAACTCCTACAACCTCAACCAGCCGTCATGAAAGAAGCGAGGAGAAGTTCTCGAGGACAACCGAAATCCACCTGTTGCGTTTGCCTTCTGCAACTCTTTTGGAAGACGTTCTCCTTCCGAGATTGTTGGTTGCGGCTTGCGGGGCACAATGACAAATTCACTCCCTTATACAACTGCCAGACAGCCCCACCTTGCTGTTCTGACAATTGCAGTTTGCCAATCCTTCTTCCGAGTATCTCCACCCCACCCAAAACCTTTTGCCAACTCCTAAGAATGTCACAATATGTTGGCTTCCTCTTGAAGCTCATCTTCAAAGGCCCCGCCTTAATCTGTTCAGCTCTTATCTCTATTTTGTTCTGTTGGACGGAGGTCAGTGGAACAACCTGTGTGCCCGACAGACAACACCCCAAATTGGGGACAACCCTACTGGAAGGACACAGAAGTGGGGAGAGAGAGAGGAAAAAAAAATACTTCAGAGTGTTTTTGACAGGTGCTTTTTTTGAAGGAGAGGCTTGTAAATATCAAACTTAACTCTTTCGGAGGACTTTTGTGCAAGCTTAGAATTTCCTCAGCGTTTCTCGAACCTGTTGCAAAAGCCACAAAGGGCAAATCCAGGACTCCAAGTCTTCTTTCCAGACTATCTTGACTCTGGATTGGGAAAGAGGCGCATTGGCAACTCCCTTCCGCTGCCCCGTTCTTTGATTGCAGCTCCTCTCTGGCGGGACAGCCTTGAATGCCTGTATCTTTTAAGGCCATCGCAACTCTAGAGGATTTGGAGACTATGGACTTTCATTACGTGGGCCTGGCCTTGTGCTTGGGAAACAGGGCAGACAGTTTCAGGCAGTTGTAAAGGAAAGGAGGGTTAGTCCTGCTTGGGAGGGGCAAGGCACTTACCACAGCCATTTTTTTAGGGGGGGGGGGACACAAAAAAGTAACCATATGAGTTGAGACGGGGAGTGTTGAAACTACAGCTTTTCTAACCGAAGGCTTGGGAATTCCACTTTTACCTTCCTTTTCATGAAGAATATTTTTTTTATCCCTTTTATACTTTCCTACAATGTTTTTTTTTAATTATTCCTGCTTTTCCGTTAATTGATTTATTACTCATAAAGGGCAGGGGATCTGGCAATTTTTAAGGCTTGTGGGCTTCACCCCCAGAATTTCTCGGCCAGTACAAAATAGGTTTTTTTTTTCTCTGAATGGGCCCGATTTCTGTTCATGCTGCATGTAAAATTAGGCAAACGACCCACCGAGAACCCGCCACCGATTGCAACGTATTATTCTGTCCGTCCTAATTTTCATCTTTTATTGGTTTTAATGCTTTTAATACTTTTATTTGTAATGCTGGCCCTTGACTGTAATAAAAATAGGTGGATTGAGGTTCTTCTGCTGATTTAAGCTTGTCACTTCACTGGATGTTCTCCTTGGCTTAAGAGTCAAATGTCCTGAAAGAAATGTGCAGTTGCTGTCGCAGGTCAAGCCTTTCTTTTTTTGTTGTTGTCGTTAAATTGCGTCTGACTCTTCACAACCTCCTGAACCGTAGCACGCCAGGCTCCCTCAAAATTCTTCTTAGTAGAATTACTCTTTGGACTACAGTCCATTTAAATATGTACCACCTTGGCAACGACACCTTCCTGTTCCCATTTGAAGCTTTGCTAAGTGATTTTCCGGGGGGGGGGGGGGAACTCTGGCCAGCACAAACAATTAATAGAAATTGGTGTCTGCAGGATGATTGTTGCTGCTGATAGCTTATCACTCCTGAAACATATTGTTTCTTTAACGCCCACCCTGCAAAACGCAATCCTGTTTAAGGCTGGGTTAATTTATACTGCCTTTTTCATGCTCCCCTCTTAGGCCTGAAGCAAATGGCCGGTAATAACTTGCTTTGATGGAATTCCAAAATCTAATGTTAAAATGTAGCTTGGGGAGCAGGTTTTGGCAGCCATTATTCCCCTTGGTTTTTCAGGATAGAAAGCATTGGTTGCATTTTAGTACATTTTGATAAAGATGCTTCGAAATATTATTGTAGTGGGGGGGAGGGGGGAGGAGATAAGGAGGACAAGAGGAGGAGAAGGGGAAAGGGAAGGAGAAGGGGAAGACAGATAAGGAGGACAAGAAGAAAGAGACAGAGAAGGAAGGAGGAGGAGAAGAAGAAGAAGAAGAAGGTGGCTTCTGCAGGAATGCCAGTTCAAACATCCTAGAGAGTTGGGCTTCCAGCCTTTGCTTGAGTAGATTCAATACAGGGAAGTCCATTCCTTTTCTGGGCAACTGGCTGTATTGTTGAACTAACTAAGTAGGATTAAGCCATGATTAAGCAGAGGCTTTTCAAATGTGGGCTCGAAGCAAATAACCACCCCTCTCTTCTTTGTAGACTTCTTGGAGTTGTTTGAGGCCAAGCTCTGTTCGTGGGTGATGCCAGAGCAAATGAACTAGCATGGGAAAATGCATCTGCCAGTGGTTAATTAACATTTTCCTTCCTCTTTATTTTTTGTTTCCTTTTTCTTTTTCCCACACATTCATTCCAAGGTTTTGAACGTTCGCAGCCACGACTCTTGAACTTTTGTTGAGAACATCACTCCCTCCAAATCCAGGCTCCGTTTCCTGCCAAAACTTCCTTTTTCTTTACGATTTTCCAAAAGTTGCTGTTGCTCTTCCCTCTCGAAAGGAACAGAAATGAAAGAAATGGTAGCATCAGGGAGAGGTTCACAATTCACTTCGCAACAGTGGCAAGAACGGTCGTAAAATGAAACCTCGCTTTTTTCTTTTTTCTTTTAGATGGCAGTTCCGGCGGCCTCGGGTTTTGTGGCTGGATCCTGGTTATATTTTCATTCATACTCGTGGCTGTCACGGCTCCTATTTCCATTTGGTTGTGCATAAAGGTAAAAAGAAAAGGTTTTCATTCCTGAACTACGTGTCCCAGGATAATCTTGAAGGGTCTAATCTGGGCTGGTCGCCAAGACCAGAGGTTTCGTCTTCCGAGCCTTTGGACTCCTGCCGGAGCCCACCTGTCCTACCTAGTCACCGGGGTAATCCACACAGGTTACTTGGCGCCCCTGTGACGAGGTAGGACAGGTGGGAAGGAAGAGTGTGATCTTTAACTATTGCACCAAGTTGGCTCTCTCCTAATCTAAACAAATTACCTTTGTGTCCCTATGTGTCCCAACAAAGGTTTTTTGACATTCCTGTGCGGTCCTGTGTGATCTCTATATTTTGGTCCACATGTGCTGGATGTGAAGATGGAGGGAGGGGGAAATAGACTGGGATGTATAGATTATTTAAAGCAATGCTTGGAATAACCAACCGTGGCTTCCTCTCATCTCAATTGCAGATTGTCAAGGAATATGAGCGGGCCATCATTTTTAGACTTGGGCGTATCCTGAAAGGAGGTGCAAAGGGGCCAGGTGAGTTATGAATATGGTACACGGGGGGCGGAGGGGGGGGGTATGTGTGTGCTGGACAAACCATATTCTGCAATTCTTGGTAGTTCCCATTCATGTGGAAGTCTGATCTGGAGGAAAGAAGGACTAGAGGTTATATGAGAGCAGTATGCCAGTATCTGAGGGTGTGCCCCCCCAAAAGAGGGGGTCAACTTATTTTCCAAAGCACCCAAAGGCAAGGCAAGAAGCAATGGATAGAAACTAATTCAGCAACCTGGAATGAAGGAGAAACGTCCTAACAGTGAGGAGAATTAACCAGTGGAACAGCTTGCCACCAGAAATTGTGGGTGATCCAACACTGGAGGTTTTAAAGAAGAGACTGGACAGTCACTGTTCTGAGATTGCATAGGTTCTCCTGCTTGAGCAGGGGTTGGACTAGAAGACCTCCAAGGTCCCTTCCAATTCTGTTGGTCTGTTATTCTGTATGGTTATATTCTTTGCTCCCTCCTCCTCCCCCGCTCCTCCTCCTCCTCCTCCTTCTCTCATTATTCCATAAAATGGGAGTCTGGTAAAGTTTGGATTGAGGCAGGTTTTTCAAATCTGACCCCGGTGATGACCGCTGATGACCGGGTGGGTTGTTGTTTTCTTTTCTGGCATTGCCCGCAGTGCAGACGGGGCTGGGTGGGGGGAAGCTGGATTAAATAGCTTCCGTGTATCCACTGACCCCGCATTCAATATTTCCCTCCCCCCTGCAGGGCTCTTTTTCGTCTTGCCTTGTACGGACAACATCATCAAAGTGGACATGAGGACCATTTCATTTGATATTCCACCACAGGAAGTAAGTGTCCCCTTTCCTTGACCTCTCGGCTTCCCCCCCCTGAGCATAGGGGATATAAATAGTCTATGCTCCCCGCCTCCCCCCCCCCCGTATCCTCCAGTCCACGCGGCCAAATGCCAGTTCAACTCAAAGCTGTACAATGGGGGGGGGGGGGGGGTGTTCGGTGGTGGGATTCAAACTCTTTGACTACTGGTTCTGTGGGCCTGTACAGCTTCACCTGGGCTCTCCCTTGTTCTGCTTCTGCTGGGTTCGCTGAGAAAATTGGGGCAGCGCACAATGAACTGAATGGCTTCCATGTTTGGTTTCCAAGTTTATAGAGATCTTTCTTGTTTGTTTTCCTGGTGGTTTTCTTGTGGACGAAGGGAGTGGAGTTTTCTCTAGTGGCTTGCCCCATCATTGTTGACAGGAATGTGTTTTTTGCCCCTCTTGGAATTTCCTTGATGAAGCTGTTGTTTTCTCCTGGATTGTTTGTCTGGTGCTGATCCCTGCTTCTCTGGGCTTCTCTGTCTGTGGAGTCCGTTCCCTGAGCTGGGTTGTTTTTTTGCAGACGTTTCCTTACCCAACTAGGTAATGCCCTCTGTGCTAGAAAACAGTGCGGGTTCAGGAGTTTCCCCAGAGTGTTGACAAGTGATTTCCACCAGCTGAAAAGCTGTAAGGGAAGAACTGTTTGGACTGTGAAACAGTCCAGAACGCCTTTGACTAATTAGCTGATTCCCCGAAGCCAACTCGCTCTTTGTTTATTTGGAAATAAGCTGCTGCGTCAGTCTTATTAAGAGTTGGCCAAAAAGAGCTGACTCTCTGGGCCTCCTCCTCCTCCTCCTCCTCCTCCTCCTCCTCCTCCTCTTCACTAAGATCCTCACCAAAGACTCCGTGACGGTCAATGTGGATGGAGTAGTCTACTACCGAGTGCAGAATGCCACCCTCGCCGTAGCCAACATCACCAACGCCGATTCGGCGACTCGGTTGCTGGCTCAAACCACTCTCAGGAATGTGCTGGGGACCAAGAACCTCTCCCAGATCCTCTCCGACCGGGAAGAGATTGCTCACAGCATGCAGGTAAGCAAAATTTTGGACATCCGTCGATGGAAGGTTGTCCTAAAGATACGAACCACTTTTTTTTAAAAAAAAAGGCTTCTGGGAGAAGTGGGAACGCCCATATATCGATATTTTTCAAGGGGAGGAGATTTATAGGTAGTCCTTGACTTATGATCACAATCGAGTCCAAAGTTTCTGTTGCTAAATGAGACAGAGAAGCTTGCTCCATTTTTATGGTCTTTCTTGCTATGGTTGTTAAATGAATCCCCACCATCGTTTAACGGAATAATGTGGTCGTTAAATGAATCTGGTTTCCCCACTGATTTGGGTCAGCAGAAGGCCGCAAAAGGGGGGTCACATGAAACCGTCACAAATATGAAGGCGTGGCCAAGCGTCCGAATGTCGGTCAGGTGGCCACGGGGATGCTGCAATGGGCATAAATCCCAAAGGTGCCTTTTCCACCCCCCCAAGAGGCAACTGGACTTTCTGGGTTTTTTCTTTGAAGACATTTCACTTCTCATCCGAGAAGCTTCTTCGGTTCTGATTGACTATATAAATCCATCCATTCCCACCATTCAGTCAGAGGCTGAAGAAGCTTCTCGGATGAGAAGTGAAACATCTTCAGAGAAAAACCAGCCTCTGGTTGGATGACTAAGAATCTCCAGACATTTAGCGATACACAATGGAGGTCACGTAAGTGTGAAAAAGGTCATCAATCACTTTTTTTCCGGTGCTGTTGTAACTTTGAACAGTCACTAAACCGAAAGTAGTAAGTCAAAGATGACCTCTATTTATTGAGACACAGGATCACAACTCCTGCATTCAAAGTACCTTTAGATCAGTGTTTCTCAAACTTTAAGAAGCGTGGACTTCAACTCCCTCCCTTCCTTCCTTCCTTCCCTCCCTCCCTTCTCAACAGGCCACCTTGGACGATGCCACGGATGACTGGGGCATAAAAGTGGAACGGGTGGAAATCAAGGATGTGAAGTTACCTGTCCAGCTTCAAAGGGCCATGGCGGCTGAAGCCGAAGCCACCCGAGAAGCCAGGGCTAAGGTGGGTAATGGTGTATATTTATTTCATTGGATCCTCTCAAGGGGTGGGGGAGAAACACACCTGAAGCTTCCATAGAAGGGAATATTTGCAGCTCAGGACTGAAATGAGGGCTCCCTGGAGCCCTCTGAGCTTGGTGGTTTCCTTGCAGACGTTTCCTGACCTAACTAGGTCACGTTATCAATGTGAATAGCGGGAGTGGGGTTTGAGGAGGAGAGGGGGAGGATTGTGGCATCCTTGTTGCTCTTTGAGCTTGGTGGTTTCCTTGCAGACGTTTCCTGACCCAACTAGGTCACATCATCAGTGCTAGAAGGGAGTGGGTTGCACTCTGGTTATATGCAAGTGGCAAATACTAATAAACAAATATTTCTGGCGTCTGTTGTTCAGAATTTTTGTGTACAACTTTTTCAACTATTCTTTTTTTTAAGCCGATGGACAGGAAGGAGAGTAAAGAAAAGATTCTACATTTCTTTACCTTTCTTCCTTCCATCAGCTTAAAAAAAAATCTCTGAATGTATTTAATGTATTAGTTCTTATTCCTACCAGCATTTTCATTCAGCTTGGATTAGGTGGAGTGTGTTTTTTCTCCTCCACAAAAAAGAAAAGGAAGCTACAAAAATGTTTTTCTTCTTGCCTGGATTTGACCCGAACTTAATGTCCAGAAAATGCTTGCATCTACAATTTTTTTTTAAATTAAGCTTGCCACATTTTCAGGCGACTTAATCAGCTGACATATTTTTTTCCTGATTGGGAAACACATTCATAATTGAGCAGGGCCGTGATTACAAGCCTGGAAATGCTATTTTAATAGGAGTGGAACTTCATTGAAATCAGATCTGTGATTTAGCAGTATCAACGGCCTTTCGGTTCTGTTGTAACACGCAGGGCTTAGGTTTATTTAAATATGTGTCACTTACTCAGCAGGTGCTCAGGAAAACCACAGGATTAAGCCCCTTTGTGTGGTTATTGTTGCAACTGCAGAAAACAGGAAGACAACAGTGGTGTCACACGAGAAAAAGAAATCTGCTAGGAAGGAGGATAGTCTTGAAATCTAGGTCTGATCTATCCGAGCATAACTTTGGGCACCTCACACGTAGAATGTTTCCTCCACGATATATCCTTCTAAATCTTGAAATCCACCCTTTGTCAAATAACAATTAACTTTGGCTAATTGGGAAAGGAAGACTGGGTGTCCGAGAGGAAAAATCACGGGATGTAGAGGGTTATTCATAAGAAGTGTGGAATGTGGGTGACTGCATTCCAGTTTTTTTTTTAATTTACCTTCTATGGATTTAGTGGCCTGGATGTGTTTGTTTTCCCCTGCAATTTTATTTTTAACAGATATTTGAAGTCCTAAGCACCTCTTTGTTGAGGAATAGAATAGAACAGAACAGAGTTGGAAGGGACCTTGGAGGTCTTCTAGTCCAACCCCCTACTTGGGCTGGAAACCTTACACCTCTTCAGACAAAGGGCTGTCCAGTCTCTTCTTTAAAAATTCCAGATCTAAGCACCCTGTGGGCTGGATCCGGCCCCGCTGGCCTTGAGTTTGATGCCCCCGTTCTAGAGCTTTACTGGAGAGGGGTTTTCTTTTCCTTCCAGGTCATCGCCGCGGAGGGCGAAATGAACGCTTCCCGGGCCCTTAAGGAAGCCTCGATCGTCATTTCGGAGTCCCCGGCTGCCCTCCAGCTCCGCTACCTGCAGACTCTCACCACCATAGCGGCCGAGAAGAATTCCACCATCGTCTTCCCGCTGCCCATAGACATGCTGCAAGGGATTATGTCCATGAAACACTAGCAGAGGCAGAAAGAGAGAAGGGCTCTTGGGTGGGGAGCTAGGGGAAATGCAAAAGTCAGCGACGGCTAGGAGAGAAATTGCAACCACGTAGAGTTTGTAAGTATTTTGCATCCGCTGGATTCTCGGTGTTGTCCCTCTGAACAAATAATAGAAGTCCCATTTTGCTTCTCCCTGTTTTAAAAATTATACAGATTAATGGAAGGGACCTTATAGGTCATCTAGTCCAACACCCCCCCCCCCCCCCGCAGACCCTACACCATTTCTGGCAGCTGGCAGTCCAGTCTCTTCTTGAAAGCTTCCAGTGAGGAAGCTCCCACCACTTCTCTTCCATTGGTTGATTGCTCTCAAGGTCAGAAAATTCCTCCTTATTTCCAGGCCGAATCTCTTCTTTTAAAGAGAGATTTCTTTTATATGCAAACATATATAATTTTTTTTACTAAAGCTTTTTCAAAAAGGAAGACAAAAACGAATACAAACTAATATCAAGGAAGAAGAAAGAAGAAAGGGATTGAAGAGAAAGCTAACAGTGCAAGAAAGGAAAAGAGTAAAGGAAGAAAAAAGTTACCAAGAAGTAACTTCCAATCTTCTTTTCAGCACTTATTACAATTATAAATTCACCTCTTCCATTTAGATTTACAAGATAGCTCTCTTCTTTCTGTAATCTGGCCCGTCTAATCCTCAAAGCCATAAATGAAAGTGTATTGTTTTTCCTCCTTCATGCAAAAAATCTGTATGTAAGGGTTAAAGAGAGATTTTTTGAGTGCCTTCTACCTCTTAAATATTTGGAGGGAGAGAAAGAAAGAATCGTTCTGGCTTTTGATTTTTTAAAATATATTTTTTGTTTTCTCTCATGAGAGAAAGCTTCCCATATGAGAAATTAGACGTCCCATAGCAGCCTTGTTGTCAAGAGATTGTAACAACACACACATTGTAGTTATGGAGATAATATGCTTGTCAGCTACGTATTATATTCAGGTTACACACAGGTGTCTCCTTGCCTTAGTGATCCATGTAATCCAATATCTGGTTTTGCTATGTCCATTTTTAAAAAAATATAAAAACAGAGAGTTGCTTTTTAAACCATCTTTAAAAAGATGAATGTATTTTCCCTGGTTTTGATTTTTTTTCTCTCTCCAGAAAAATAAAACCATAAAGAAGATTGTCTCATTGCCAGAAATGAGGCTGGTGCCTTTGAATCTTTAGCTGAGCTTAAATTTATTATTTCCTAAAAGCTAACAAGCTCGACATTTACCTGAAAGGAAGCTTAATTTAACATTATGGCCTCCCCATCAACAGTCTCTATTTCCACATTCTCAGCCAGTTTAAAATAATTCCTCTGAAAGACCCACAAACCCTATAGACTTCCTTTCTCAAGTAAGTACGGTGTTTGTGCTAAATCTCAGCTTTTTTGCTAATATACTGTACCACGCTGATGTTTAGCCCCTTATCTCTGTATATTTGCATGTGTATTTTGTAAACTTGGTATCTGATTGAAATCAGAACTAGAGGTAATTGTAACCGAATAGCATTGTGGTTAATTGTAATCATTGTGTGTAAAGATTTAAGAACAGGAAAACAGACCCATGGTCTGGTTAGAAAGATCATGGCCTGTCAGATGAATACTGAAAAAGTTTTTAAATTGTCTGAAGCTCTGTTGAAATATCATAGCATCCTTCATATTGTCCGAAGTTAAAGTGGGATCTGGCCGCTTTAATTTCATGGTAATATTAATTCAGTTCGCAATGATAGAATCCAAATGAAGCTGTCCTTCCAGAGTGGGGGGGAAGCACACACCCCTCCAAAAAACACACCAAAGAAACTTTTCTTTAAGCCCATTTACCAAAAGTGCTCTTAATATCATGTACAAAAGGAGAGAAAAAAGGTCCGTGAAAACGTGTCTGAATTCTAAAGTGTCCTTGTTTATCAGCTGACATTCCAATAAATTTTTCTTTTATCGCGTTCCTGTTTCTGAAGTCCTTGGCAAAGCTTTCCGTGAAAGGAAGATATTGGGAGAGGCCGTGGTGCTCTCTGAGCTTGGTGGTTTCCTTGCAGGGGTTTCAGGGTGGAGACCCTGAAAGGGGGAAGCAAAAGCTAGATGGTGGGTTTTTCTCTTGTCCACCCACCTCCAAGCTGCAGAAAACATCTGCAGAACTTCTGCTAGCCTCACCCAGCCCTGTTCGGCCCCTGAGATATAGCAGGGTCTGCTTAACCTGCCCAGGTGGAGAGATTTCCAAACCTTGCTGTGTTGTTTTAGATTTTATCTCAGGCCAGCCTGGACAATAAGGACAGCTGCAAGTAATTGAATCGAGCTGGTAGCCCCAGAGCTGTAATTAGGAAAGAAAAGACTGGATCGCGCGGCTTCAGTTTATATTCATTAGGCACGGGAGGGCTCTGTCTTTTGACAGGCATCTCTTATCCTGGTGGACGTGTTCTCTCTCTGGCCTGAAATATAGAGGCCTCTGGGGTACTTTCTCTTCTCCAGAACCGCAGGAGGGAGGGAGGGAGGAATGGATATAGGGGGAAAAAGGGGAGGGAAGGACGGATGGACGGAAGAAGGATGGTGATGGGAAGAAGGGGGAAGGAAGGAGGGAGATGGGAAAGAAAAAAGAAGAAAGGAAAGAGAGGAAACAGGAGAAGGAAGGGAGGGAGGAGATAGGAAGAAGGAAAGAAGGAGAAGGGAAGAGGGAGGGAGAGAAGGAAGGGTGGGCGGAAGAAGGAAGGAGATGGGAAGGAAGGAAGGAGAGAAGAAAGGAAAGTGATGGGAAGCAGAAGAAGGAAGGAAGGAAAGGAGGGAGGGAGAAGGAAGGAAGGAAGGAAAGAAGGAGATGGGAAGAAGGAAGGAGAGAAGAAAGGAAAGAGATGGGAAAGAAGAAATGAGAAGAAAGAGATGAAGGAAGAAGGAAGGAAGAAGGAGAGGGAGCCCATCGTCGCGACTCAAAGCCCGAGCGAGCCAAGGCCGCGGCGGCGCATCCCCCCCAGACGGACCGTCCGCAGCCTTCGGCCCCCAGAGCGGAGGTCGGAGTGGGCGCCGCGCGAGCGGGGGAGCCGCACCCGGCCACGGGGGGGGGGGGGGGCCCCGCGCGGGGCCTCTTGTCGGTTGCTGCCCATCCCGCCCGCCAACCTGGGCAACAGCAGCGCGGTGGCTCCCATGGGCGACGTGGAAAGAGGCGTCCGGAGGAGCCCGGACGCGCTGAATTTGGACGGTGAGAGACCCGCCGATTTGCCCCGCTGTCCTGCCGGAGCCTTTCAAAACAATCTTTACCGGCTGCTCTGACTTCCACACCGCCTAACCTGCGGACTGAGCGCGGCGAGCTCCTGAGCCTGTGCAGAGCGCCGCCACTCGAGGGGATCTCAAAGGACAGGCTAACTCTTTTGGGGGTGGGTGGGGGGGCTTTGTCTCTCATAGAACTCGTAGAATAACAGAGTTGGAAGGGACTTTGGAGGGCATCTAGTCCAACCCTCTTCTCGAGCAGGAGAGTCTATTCCAAATATTAGCCTCTACCTAGGATCGAACTCACAGCCTCCCTTGCATGCTTGGCCGATTCCATTGGGACCCCTGGGGTACTACTACTGCTGCTGCTAAGAAGCATACACAGAGCATACACAGAGCGCATCAGGAGATATAAAAACGCATCTTCACCATTATTCGTTACTTTCTTTCTATAATTCCTACGCTGCCCAAGGATATTTCTTTAAACTGGTTCTTACATCAAATCATAGTAATAATCAATCAAGCATATTTGCTTATGTGCTATCAAGTCAACCAACCAATTAGGATTAATGATATGTCATCACGTCAAACTCATTCGTTTCTTTGTTTCTTTGACTGATCGATTACATGCTCTCAGGTCAATCAAACCATTTGATTGATGCTTTGGGTGCTATAAAACCAGTGTTATGAGTTTGATCGACTGTTCATGGGCCTTCGAATCAATCCTATGACTTTGACTGATTATGCCCTATCAAATCCAATCATTTGGGTTGATTGATCGGCTGCCATCTAATCAAAGAATTTTGGTCGATTGTGTGCTGTCCAGGCTGAACTCTTAGTTGTTGTTTTTAATTTAACTTATTTATTAGTTTATCGAACTATAAAACACAAAGAAAAAAACATGGAAAAAGTAAGAAGAGGAAGGGGAAAAGAAGGGGGTATACTGTAACAGGAAAAAAAAGAGAGAAAAAGGCACCAATTTCTGACTCTCTTTTGGCACAGTCAAAGGTAACAACATTACAACCACCACTTTTTGCTTTTACACAACAGTCTGCACAAGCCATCTCTATAACAATAGGCCTGCCTAGGCGTACAGAAACAGAATCAAAGTTTCATCCCCCCCCCCCCCCATTGCAAACACACAATCCGGGGAAGCAATTGCAAATTAGAGAGGAAATTAAATATAATCTATGATTTGGATAAAAGAATAATTTTAACCACCTCCACTTCTCCTGGCTGTGGGGAATAACAGGGCTCAACTGGGAGGCGGAAACGTGGAGACGTCCATTGCACGAGCAGCCAGAAGACCAGAAGGACGTTCGGGTCACAATTCTTTGTCTTCCTTTTTTTTGAATATTAACAGTCCCAGAGCCAATCCAGGACTGGAAACTCGGCCTCATTGTTGAAAGAGGCAAAACGTATTTTTATACTCCAGCAGTTCCCAGGACGCATCTCTCATTCCCTTCATTGGGTTGAATCTCAGAGGCTCATGGTCTTTGGGTGGCTCTTCTTTTCTTCTTTTCTTCTCCTTAGCCCAGCTGCTTCGGGTGACTTTTCCGTCTGCTGCTTCATCTGAACATGGTGGGAAGCTAGGAATGAGCGCTCTAAGCGGACCCTCCGGGCGGGCGGGCAAAACAACAGGGATGGGTGGGTGGTTCTCAGAGTTTTCTCTTTGTTGGCTTTTCTCTTTCAGGGGACTTTCAGGAAAACTACAGCTTGTGCGAATGGATCCTCATTATCCTAATGCATATTGTTGTCCTTTTAACTTTCCCCATAACCATCTGGACGTGCATAGAGGTAACGATCGATCCTTGGAATCCTTCTTCCCATCTATTTCCTTCTCTTTTTTCTTCCTTCCCATGTCTTTCCTCCCTCCCTCCCTCCCTTTCTCTTCCCATCTCCTTCCCTCCCTTCCTTCCATCTCCCTCCCTCCCTCCCTCCTTCCTTCCTTCCCTCCTTCCATCTCCCCCCCTCCCTTGATGAAACTTATTCCGCCATATACCATACAGAGCAGGCTGCATTGAACATTATGCAAGCAGCACCAACAGGGCCAGAAAAGGCACCAAAAGGGGGTCAATCTGTGTCTATCTTCCCATGGCAGGTTGTGATGCAATATCAACGCTTGGTCGTTTTTAGGCTGGGCCATATACGAAAAGGGGGATCAAAAGGTCCCGGTAAGTTATGTATGCCCCCCCCCCCAAGTCCTTTAGATCTTGTTTGGAAGGAATGTGTTGGATAGCAAACCACAACTGTTCTGTACTGAAGCTGCTGGGTGCCCTGAAACTGAAACTGAAAGTGAAACTGAACCTCCCCTCCTCTGCTTGTGTTTTGCCTTTGGAAGAGATTTCTTTTCAGGTGGGGAGGGGGAGTAGAACGCCTTAGCATCAGAATATAGGAAATCCTTTAAATGCTCTGATAGTAATTTCAAAAAATCCTTTCTTAGTGAGCACCTGGAAGCCAAGAGGAACATAGGGGCCAAATTTCAAGTTTGTAGGCTTTACGGTTATGGAGATTTTGTGATGATGCATGAGTGGTACTTCACTTTTACATATATATATATATTTTCCCCCCACAGGAATCTATTTTATTTTGCCTTTCCTAGATCACGCGGTCACGGTGGATATGCGAACAATATCATTTGATATAGCTCCCCAAGAGGTAAGTACTCTACGGGCGGTCCTCGACTTACAACCACAACTGAGCCCAGAATTTCTGTTGCTAAGCAAGACGCTTAGGACCATCTGCAAGTGCTTTTTGCTCCCCCCCCCCTCTTGTCACTGTCCTCTTCTAGATTCTCACAAAAGATTCAGTGACGATCATGGTGGACGGCGTCGTTTATTACCGGGTTTGGAATGCGATTCTTTCCGTCGCAAACGTGCTCTACATGGACCCGGCCACTCGGCTCCTGGCTCAAACCACCTTGCGGAACGTCTTGGGAACCAAGGACCTGGCTCAGATTCTCTCCGACCGAGAGGAGATTGCCCAAAGCATGCAGGTTCGGGAAAGTTGCAGCCACCGTGGCTTCTTTGGGAGAGATTCGGAGCAAACCGAGGTCAGATCTCAGTGCGGTAGGCAGAAAGGGTGAGGTCCAGTGGTGGGTTCCCAAATATTTTCCTACCTGTTCACAGCCAATCAGAGGTGATATTTGCCAGTTCTCTGAACTACTCAACATTTCAGCTACCAGTATGCCAGAACTGGTCCGAACCTCTGGGGAAATCCCTTCCCAATTGAGCCCTGATTCTTGGTGATTTCCTGGACGTGTCCATGTTGGCGCTGGTGGGAAATATCTGTAGCTCGAGGGTCGGATGAGGGTGGAGGTTCATTCTCCGAGCTGGTGGGTGGGTTTCCGAACGTTTCATTACCAGGCTGGGTAACATCTTCAGCGGAATTAAGGGGATGTCCATGTCCTTCTGCTTATGAGAGCTTCGTGTGGTCAGTAGGTCTTGCGATGGTCGGGTCATACGAGGTGAAAATCTTGTGGTGGGTCAGGTGTTGGTCATGTCAGGTGAAGGTCTTGTGATGCATCTTGTGAGGGGGAGTGACCCTTCCTTCCTTCCTTCCTTCCTTCCTTCCTTCCTTCCTTCCTTCCTTCTCTCTTTCTCTTTCCTTCCTCCTTTCTTTCTTTCTTTCTTTCTTTCTTTCTTTCTTTCTTTCTTTCTTTCTTTCTTTCTTTCTTTCTTTCTTTCTTTCTTTCTTTCTTTCTTCTTTCTTTCTTTCTTTCTTTCTTTCTTCTTTCTTTCTTTTTCTTTTTTAAAGATCACCCTGGACAAGGCCACAGATGACTGGGGCATCAAGGTGGAGCTTGTGGAGATCAAGGATGTGAAGTTACCCCAGCAGCTTCACAGGGCCATGGCGGCAGAAGCAGAGGCCTCTCGAGATGCCAGGGCTAAGGTGGGAAATGATGCTGATTTGATTTTTTGTGGGGGGGTCCCATTTCCCATTTGGGCATACCCACACCCACCCAGATATGCTGAAGATCAAACAACTCAGATTTGGGAGAACAGAAGAAAGAAAATTTGTAGCTAAGAAGCTGAGGGGTTTCAGCTCAGCCACCCACGGGGGGTTCGCGCACACCATGCATGCTGGGTGTTGAACCTAAGCTGACCATGGCTGGCTCAACAAAGCGGTTAGTGGAATCGGTGCCGCCAAGCCAACAAACCACCTTTTAAAAAAAATTTGGCCTCCTGCCTCCCAGGTGATCGCAGCGGAGGGCGAAATGAACGCCTCAAAGGCTCTGCAAAAGGCCGCCGCCATCATCTGCGAGAACCCCGCCGCCCTCCAGCTCCGCTACCTGCAAACGCTGACCACCATCGCCGCTGAGAAGAATTCCACCATCATCTTCCCTGTCCCGTTGGACATCCTGCACGGTTTGATCTCCCCAAAGCAGGAGCCGCGATGAGGAGGAGGAGGAGGAGGAGGAGGAGGAGGAGGAGGAAAGAGAAAGAGACAACCGGCTGCTGCCTTTCACCCGAGCCCCTTCGAATTAAAAACGTGTGCGCATGTTACACCGAGGTGGTTGTGCAGCAGCAGTTCCCCCCCTCCCAAACTTTGCAGGTTGGGGAGTCCGGCTTGGGGGGCAGGGGGAGGGAAGAGAAGGGAACCAGGCGTGTGAGTTGAGGGGCGGTGTGCAAGCGTGTCAGCCTGCCACTTGTGCAAATTGACATTGACAAATTGACATTCACGTGGCCTGGTTACAAATAGGCCACGGCCTGGTCGTGGGCTGCAATCTGAGGGTTAGGGACCCCCGTGGTACAAGATTCTATTTATTTGCAACCTTTGCACAAGAGTGACTAAGATTTCAACACAGAGAAGCACTTGACGCAACCACAGAAACACAAAACCTTTTTGAGACTTGGGTCTTTTCTTCCTTCCCTCCCTCCCTCAGTTCAGAAGGTGCCGGCATCAAAGTCCGAAATGGAATAGGGTTTCTTGGCTGAGCAGGGGGTGGACTAGAAGACCTCCAAGGTCCCTTCCAACTCTGTTATCATTCTGTTCAAAAAAGGTCCTCCACGTCAGCTCAACCTCTGGTTCACCATAAAAGTCCCCATCAGCAATGTGGATGCCACACAACTTCAGCGATGGGAAGCCACCATTGCTGGATTCTTACGCTAAGCCTAAACAATGAATCAGAGGCTGGCTTAGCTGTCCCCAATCCTGGTCTGTGCCTGGTTTTCCCAGAATGGCACCCTTGGTGTGCAATTTACCGGAGGCTTCCCTGCGCCACTGGGGGCTCCTGAGTCTGCTACCAAACACCACACAGTTGAGCAATCCTTGGTGTTCCCTCAGCTGGCTTGTTTTCTTGCAGACGTTTCATTACCCAGCTAGGTGATGCCATCAGTGCTCAGAGGGAAGGAGGTGTACTTCCAGCACTGATGATGGGACCTAGCTGGGTAGTGAAACGTCTGCAACAAAACCATCAAGCTCAGAGAGCACCAAGGACCTCACAGTCCTCCTCCTCTTTCTCTCCACAAATCCCATTCCCTTCTAACACTGATGATGTTACCTAGTTGGGTTATGAAACGTCTGCAAGGAACCCCACAGGTCAACCCTGAGCTGCAAGCTCCCCCGCGGGATTTCACCTCTCCACGGCCGGTCGCAAAAGCGGGGAAGGGAGCGGCACCGGGGGCGCTTGGAGAGCTCTCCGCGCGTAAAGGCGAAGTCCGAAGCCGGCTGCGGGGACGAGAGGCGAGAGGAACGTTAGCAGCCCAGCAACCGCCGCCCACAACGGGGAGGGGGCGGCTGGGCTTCCTGGAGCGCCTCCGGAGCGACAGAGCGAGGCGAAGCATGTCTGTGCCTCTCAAGACGCCCGAGGAATCCGTGGGCTCCGACGCGTTTCCAGGCAAGAGCCCAGGAGAGCGGCGGGGCAGAGGGGGGAGGGAATCTATGACTTTTTGCACGGAGGGAGCGTGGACGGGGCGGGCAGCAACCAAGCTTAGAGAGCCCCAAGGACCCCGCGCTCCTCCGCTTCTTCCTCCTCTCCTCCACAAACCCCCATTCCCTTCCAGCACTGATCGTGTTGTCTAGTTGGGTCATGAATCGTCTTGCAAGAAACGCACCAAATTCAGAGAGCGCCCAGGACCCCACCGTCCTCCTCCTCCTCCTCCTCCTGCCTGCAAACTCCACTCCCCCTCAAAGCTCTTCTCCTTCTCCTTCTCCTTCTCCTTCTTCCTCCTCCTCCTCCTCCTTCCCCCCATCCTCTTCTACTTCAAAACCCCATTCCTTTCCAGCACTGATCATGTTATCTAGTTTGGCTGATGGAAACCTTCCCAAACACATGGTTTTTCTGTTTCGCCCCAAAGATCCAGAAGATAATTTGGCCCGGGGAGAATTGTTCCTGCTGGTCTTGTCCGTTCTGTGCATCATCATGACATTCCCCATCTCTGTCTGCTTCTGCTTACAGGTAAAAATAGAACAAATAATAATACATGGATGCCATTGGCCTTGATAAACTCCGCATCAATCGCAGAAAGCAGCTCCGCTTGGGAGAGCTGACATCCTGTGACAATACCTGTCGCATCCACCTCTGCCTCTTCCAGTTCCTTGGGAAGGCTTTGAGAGGGGGATCCATGTGCCAAATCCGTTCTGAACATCTGGCTGACTGTGTGATGAAAGATAATAATAATAATAAAAAAGGCCTTCTGAAATCCTGGCCTTTTTGATGTGAGCAAGAGAGCTAAGCAGAAAAGAGAGACTACTGTGCAATCAAGTCCAGGGTTACAGACGAGGCCCCCAAATAAACCACCATGGGGGGCACCAAAAACAAACACTTATTGGAGCCTTTAAAAAAACATCTGCAGCTTTAGCATTGTGGCTTTTTTGCTGATCACTGACTGCAAATCAATAAATGCAAATACAGGTGTGTGTTTTTTTAATGGTTGCTCGTGCAATTCATTTCAATTTCAGTAAGCCTCCAATATGTAATAATATCCTCCAAGATAATCAAATCAGATTATTCTTGGATGGAGAAGTCAATCAGGCACTCAGAATAGAACCTCAGAGGTCTTCTAGTCCAACCTCTGCTCTAGCAGGAGACCCTGGCCTATCCCATTCCGGACAAGTGGCTGTCCAGTCTCTTCTTGAAAGCCTCCAGTGATGGATCACCCACAACTTCTCTTCCCCGGCTAATTGTCCTCCCTGTCCAGAAGTTTCTCCTTAATTCCAGGTTGCTTCTGTCCTTGGTCAGTTTCCACCCAATGCATTTACTAAACCAAGCAATGGATTCCTCATTGTGGTGACAAAGCAGAGGCTGTTTCTGGGTTTGAAACAAAACCCTGCAGCCTTTTCAAAGCATTTTAACCTTCCCCAGTTTTGCTGGCAAGTGTCTGTTCATACTTTCCTTTCGTTAGCATGTTTTGCCTCCCTTTTAATGTCCCATTTGCATTGGTTAACCTGTTTTAATCGTCTCTCTCTCTCTCTTTTTCCTTTTTTTTCTTTTTCACACTCTGCCCTGTGTTATGTTTCAGTTTTGGATGTTACAAATGGAGTACAAAACTAGGTTGAAACTTGCAACGGAATTCCTTGTTTCAGGTTGTTACCGAATACGAAGAGCCGGTCATCATGAGGTTCGGACACGTACGGAAAAATGTCTCAAGAGGGCCAGGTGAGTGGTTCGCCCGAAGCCTTGGGGTGCATTGAGCTAAATTCTCACAATTGCAGGTTGTCCTCAACTTAAACACCATCGAGCCCAAAATTTCTCTTTGTAAAGCAAGAAAGTTGGTAAGTGAATTTTGAGCCATTTTATAACCTCTCCGGCCACGGTTGTGAAGTGGTTGGTTTGTTTTGTGGGGTTGATGTGGAGGCTTAGATTTTTATTTTGATGGCAATTGTCATTTCTTTTCCCAAAGGGGTTTATTTCATTCTGCCCTTCACAGACAGTCTTACCAAAGTCGACATGAGGACAAAAGCACTTGAATTGCCCTTCCAGGAAGTGAGTGTTTCCTTTCGTTCTTTGGTGGAGAGCATCAAATATTATAGTATCTATCTGTCTGTCTCTGTCTGTCTGTCTGTCTACCCATCTATCAATTCTGTCTGTCATCTCTCTGTCCATCCATCATCCATCATCTATCATCTTCATCTCTATCATCTATCTTTCTATTTGTCTATCTTCTATCATCTTTCTTGTTTTCTGTTCCTTTTTCTATTGTTTATCATCTATTTATCTAGCTCTATCATCTCTATTTCTATTTATCTTTCTATCTATCTAATCTATTTATGATATTTCTATCTGCCTATCTCTCATATCTCTATCTTTCTCTCTATCTCTCTATCTCTATCTCTATCCCTATCTCTATCTCTATCTCAATATCTATCTATCTATCTATCTATCTATCTATCTATCTATCTATCTATCTATCTATCTGTCTGTCTGTCACCTATCTTCTCTGCAATCTATCTATTCCTTATTTCCTCCCCCCAAAATGGGAAACCAACAGCCTGACAAGTCTTGCTTTCCCATTAGTTCCAAAAATGGTCTCTGGTCTACCTGCATAGGAGAAGGAGAGCTCAAAATCAGAAGACATCTGGTTGCATTTTTCCCAATGAACAAATCATATTAAAAGGTGGCAGCTTTGTGAGGCCTGTCTCCTCCTCCCTTCTATTCCTTGCTTTTTTTTTTGGGGGGGGGGGGGGGGGAAGCTGCTTAAATTGCCTACGTGTGATTAAAAGCCTAATGCGGCAGCCTCACCATTAAGCCTGGGAAATGCCTCCCGTGCTGCAGAGGGTGCCTCCAGCTGACCATACTTTGGTTTAAAAGTTGCCCGAGATTTTGGGTCTCACATTGTATACTACAATTGGTTGTGGTTTGGGGCACCTTGGCTTTGAATCACTGCACAGAGCGATAAAATAATGTGCGAAGCACCCAGAGTGGCTGAGAGTTGGGTGGTGCAGATATTAATAATAGATTTTCCACTGGTGGTGAGGATGGAAGTTTTATAGGCTCCTGGAGTTGAATATGGCAAAGAGGAGAGGTCTATAATGAAAACTGAAACTACTGTACTCAACGTTGAGTTTCTTCCAGATTCACTGCTTGTCCCATCGCATAAGAGACAATCATTGTTCTTTTAGAGCCAATTCAAGACTAACTGGCCGGAAATCTAATAACTGTTAAACAGATTACCTATGCTGCTCCAGCTGACTCGAGTTTAACTGTCTGGAAATCTAATAACCCTTAAGCAGATTACATTTGCGGCGGTTGAGTTTCTCCAACCAAGGTCTTTCATCATCTTTCTGGTTTTGGGCTTTTTTTTCTCTTCAGTTCGGTGATATTTACATCTCTTTTTATAAACGGCAGGTCATCCTTTTGCAAGCTGTGTTCAAGGCTGATCTGTAGATTTTCAGGAGCATGGTTGAAATTTCTTGGAAAGCAAGACAAAGGCGACATCCAGTTTATTTGGTTTGGATTCAGCCCATTGCATGAAACCGACCAGTCTGATTTCTAAACCAAGACATTCAGCTTAATATGATGTGTGAACCAGGATGTGTTGGCTTATTTAAACCCAGGTTAAAGCAAGCCAGGAGTTGCTATTTGAGATGGGCGGCTGCACAAAGGGGATAAATAAAATAAAAGGAGATGAGCACAACAGGTCAAAATAGAGACGGAAGCCGCTGCTTTTTTAGACAGAAATCGGGGAGGGAGAATTACAGATCTCTGTCTGAGTTGGTGGCTTCAGAGAAGAAGAATGATTATCACACAGGTTCCCCCAAAAGACAGAACAAAACGGTGTCCGTTTCTGTTCCTCCTGCAGATTTTTACTAAGGACCCCCTGATCATTGATGTGGATGGCGTGGTCTACTACCGAGTCCAAGATGCCTTTCTTGCCGTGACCAAGATCTCCGACGCGGATGCAGCCACCAGCCTTCTAGCCAAAGCCATCATGAAGAATACGCTGGGGAGTCAAACCCTCTCCCACCTCATCTCCGACCGAGAGAAAGTGGCCAAGGAGATCCAGGTACACCCGCCAGACCGAAAGATCCAAGAACAACAGGATGGAGTTGCTTCGGCCTAGTTTCTTGGTCGACTCTTCTCACCTAGGAGATATTGGGAGGCTGCTGTCGTATCCCCCGTAGTCCACATTTCTCTCTACTGTTTTTCACCAGGCCCTGCTGGACAATATCACAGCTGACTGGGGAGTCACGATAGAACATGTGGAGATCAAGAATGTGAAGACACGAGTAAATGTAAGAGGGTCAGTGTGCAATTATTGGCGTTATTTTTTACTCTTAACCTTTCATTGCCCTTGGTTTGGTTTCTATCCTCCGCACCTGTCCGCGACTGTGGGGATTTCTGTCTCAATATGCTGGGCAGAGCTAGTCAGCTAAGTACAGGGGGGGTGTCCTCATTTAGTGACCATTCCAGTTACCACAGTGACAGAAAAGTAACTTTGCCACCAATCCTCATCTTTATGGCCTTCACAGGTCTGTAAAACAAAGGAAAGCGGCAATAAAATCAGAAGTTGTGATTTCACCTAGCAGCCACTTGACAACAGTTGCTGGTCGCTATTGTGGCTGTGAGGAGGAGGAGGGTGGTGGCAAGTAATCCTTGATTTATGGTCACAATCAAGCCCCCAAATTCCTGTCATTCATTGGTTCTTCTCTTCACTAGACTAGCCAGGCCCAGTTCCTGCAACCGTCCATCGTATGTTCTCGATTGGTGGATCCCACCTCTATAGAGGCCTTTGCCTCTTCCACATCTTGGCCTGCACAGCAGAGTGTTAGATCTTTAGGTGGCCCCCTTGTTCACACAACCCATTCCTGGACCCCTTTCACCCCTTTCCAGGTGTTGGCTTATCTTCGGACATAAAGAAGGCCTTCTGCAGCTTTGGGTACCGCAGAAGTGAAGGGCAGGTAGTGCTGTGAGCCTGGCAAGGCCTTTCCAAATGCCCGCCTGAGACCTGTGGCCTCCCCTCCCTTCTAGGTTGTCTCCCCGGGGAATGTGATCCCACCACCGAGGGCGGCGAAAGAACTTTCCCTCTTCCTTCAGGACTCGCCCGTCTCCATCCAACTCCGTTGCTTGAAGGCAGACAGCGCCCATCCGAGCCCACGCCTCTCCACCATCGTCTTCCTTTAACCCAGTTCAGCAGAAAAGGATGGAGAAGGAAGCCCACTGACAGGAGACGTTTCTCCAGAACTTGGGCTGCTTGGGGGAGAAACCAGGGTCCTTCAAACTCCAAGGCCACGTTAGAGGGGTAGATGGGTATTGGCTTGTTTTTAATGTTTTGACGTTGTTCCTATGGTTCTCCCTCCCCCACAACCCTAATAAAATTTAAAGAAAGAGATTGTCTTGGCACCTGGTCCCCTGTGGTGGCGAGTTCAGAGGTTGTGGACCTTGGAGGTGGCTCCTGGAAGGGAACGGGTTAGCAAAACGATGGGTGTGAGAACCATGGTTTCTTCGTGGATTGGTAAACAGACTGGCATGGTTTCGTACAACAGGACTGGCAACAATCGCACGGCTTTCTTTGAAGTGCGCTGTGACTGAAGAACCTCCAAGCGTTGTGGGCTGTTCCCACCACCGGAGGTCTTCAAGAGGAGATCCGCCTGTCCAGAACGGTCCATGCGACCATCCGCCATAGGAACCGATTGCCAAGCATCCAAATTTTGATCCCGTGACCTTGGGGGGAAGGCTGCAGCAGTCGCTAAGTGTGAAAAACGGTCCGGTCACATTTTTTTCACTGCTGCTGTAACTTCAAAGGATCCGTTGTAAGTCGAGGACTACACACGTTTTAACTAAATTTCCAAAACCGGCAAGCCCTTTACTGATTCTATACAAGCTTTATTAAAGGCTGTTTTCTTCAAAACAGCAGCAAGCGGGTTCAAAACGATACAGTTCGTGGACAGGTCTCGGCTACCGGTGAGCTTCTTGAGCGAATTTTTAATTTTTTTATTTTAAAAAAAGGAAAGTGCCTGTAGGAGATGGAAGGAGACCTTGGAAGGCCACACCCTTTCCTCCTTCCAAAGGATTAAGAGAAGGAGAGATCTCTTCCTTCACACAGCCAGCTCCGCCAAAGCCCGCTCCAAAGGATCCACGTTCCAATAGTCGTCCTCCCAGCCCAGGAACCAGCCAGTGAAGGTCGGCGGTTCGAACCCTTGTCGGATGAGGGTGATGGGTGTCCGGTGATCGCGGTTGGCCGGGTCAGTCTCAATGTATCTCCGTGCTGTAAAAGGAGAAAACAGCATAGACATCATCAGCACCATCAACCTTGGAGGTGTTGACCTGCCAATGAAGAGTTGGACGATGTAAAGATTGAGATGGGATCAACTCACCTGATGTTTGGGACTCCGTCTTCTCCTCTTCTTGGGCGTCTTTCCCAACCCACACAAAGACCTTTGAAGAAAAAGCCAAATGAACTTCACGTGTGCTACGGCCACCACGGATGGTCAGCTCTTCATGAATCATCTCCACCTTATTCTGCCCATTGGGTAGGTATGATGGGAAGGGTTCAACAAACTGGGTTTCACTTTCAGGATCTTAAGAGGACCCCCCAATAGAATCCTCTTCTTTTAACGACCCAATAATCCCTTGCATTGGGGTGGAGTCAGGGCAGCAGAATGGAGCTTACAGAGTTTTTTAATGGCCGGATGCTCTTCCTGTCACCAATGTGGAGTTTTGTTCAGGAGATATATATCTCCTTCTACCTAGGATCGAACTCACAGCCTCCTGATTGTGAGGTGAGAGTTTCACCTCTAGGCCACCGAGAAATCGAAAAGAAGTTTATTTATATTTTAATATTGTTTTGCTTAGGTGATTTTCAATCTGGATCTGCCCTTTAATTGTGCTCTGATAGGACTGCACTGAATTTCAGTTTAGTTCTGGCCGAGAATTATCTAAGTCAGTGTTTTTCAACTTTAAAGAAGTTAAAGGGGGAATTCTGCAAGTTGAAGTCCACCTATCTTCAAGTCACCAAGGTGGAGAAACATTGGTCTAAGAGATACATTTGGGTCCCTTTATTGTGCTGCCGATGAACTTAAATGTAAATGATTATTTTATGAGTTTTAGAGATGCACCTGTAATTATTATTTTTTAATTGAATCAATTGTACACTTAAAAACAGAAATAGACATTGATTTGCTGTTGAGTTACTCAGATTTTAATATTTGAAAACAAATGTTTAATGAAAATGGTATTTGTTTTTTCCCCTCTGATTTCTGTTTTGACATTTTACAGATCAAGAAAAGAGGTTAGATATATTTCCTGAGGGTTAACCGCAATTTAAGAAAACTTGGCAAGAAAACTTGGCCAAGGCAACATTATGGCCCTTTAATAGTACCTTTGCTATAGATGATTTTATGGTGCAGAGCAGAGAAAATTTCATTTATTAAGGAGTGGGGTACTTACCTGATCCCAGGTATCTAAAAGCATGACATCATCTGTTGCCAAGTCATCTTGAGTCAACTCTCCAGGTACTTCTTCAATCTAAGAAGTTTGAAATGGAAAATGTAAAAACAATAAAATTAAGGGATTTCGTTCTCTGGCATGAGCCTGACAAGCAATCCCAACGGAAGAAACTTCTCAAGTGAATCCAGAACGTTGAAAATCAGGTCCATCTCTGAATTCCCAAAGAGTTTTAACATTTATTGATTGATTGATATTATTTTAAATCTATTGGCCATCTATTTCAGTAGGGATAATGTGTGTACCACATCTAGGACCCCCAATATAGCCAAATTATTTGGTGTGGTTTTGGGTTGTCTCAAGGAGGTAAATGTCAGGAAGAACTTGAAGAAGCTTCTGTGAGATGGAAAGTCCAGTTTTCACAGTTTGTCCTCCCCCAAGAGGCCCCAGTGCATCAAAATTCAACCCTCTTGCTATCAAGGTTTGGAAGAAATGCCTCTCAAGAAGCTTTGCCCATTCTTAGGACCTCAACACTCTTCCGTTGGTGACGCCCGTCACCCTGCGGTTGTTGGGCAAGGGGGTGAGAGGTTCTTTAGTTGGAAAGTGATCCATCTGTAGCAGAGAATTTGCAGAATGTGTGTTAACTTGCCAACCAGGTTAGCTTCAGGCACTCACCGTGAAGCGTCCACTCTTGTTGGAGCAGGCAAAGAGGCGAGGGGGGTGAGCGTCCATCTTCTTGTCCTTCAGCCGTGGGGAGGTGCGGTAGGCAGCCCTTCCACCGAGAGCGTCCCAGAAGCTTTCTGCAAAATAAACCTGGAGCTTGAATGAACTTTCTTGGTCAGGACGTCCGTTCCTGATGTGGAGGGCAGCTCAAGAGGGAGGCAGACTGGCGGGCAGAAGATAAGCGTTACCCAACCTGTCTTGAATCGAAGGGGCCCTTGGCGCTCTCAGAGCTTGGCTGTTTTGCCAAGTTTTTAAAGTGTACTTTTGGAAAGAGAGAAAACGTTGGGGTTCACCAAGAGCCAATGGATCCAACTCAACGCAGAACAGCATAAAAATGATGAGCTTTTCCCAACATCATTTTTTAAGCTGTAGTTTGTTGAACGAGCCCCAAGGGCCTGGTTTTTTCTTCCTCCCAGCCCGCTGGAAGTGGATTCACACATCATGGTGCACCACAACTGAAAAAACCACCTTCTCTTTAGCATGAGGTGTGAACCTGAACTTTTAATTTCGGACATGCATTTCAAACCTGGCTCTCGGCCTTCAGCAACCTGAGTTGCCCGCACTCCCAAAACGTTCAGTAGCTCCTGGGCTCCCGATTTTTCGGTGTTGCTGGCTCCCTGGCCCACCCAGACATAAGCCGTAGTTGGGGTCTTCAAGACAAAGACGTCATTGGAATTCAGTTCTTTAGCAGCTGGGGTGATCTGTAAAAATATGCAAAGGACATCAGGGTCAGCTGCCATTTTATGCTTGCTTGGGCTTCGCTGCTGTGCGGTGAATGGACACTTGGGGAAACGAAAGTAAGTGCCGCATCTCCTCAAGACGCTGCCTCAAAGCCACCCAGCTGGAAGAAGAAGGGAGCTACATGCCAAACGTTGCTTGCTTGGACTGCCTGTTATGGAGACAGTCTGCTTGGTGATACCACGGCAGTGAGATATAGTTAAGGAAGGGGAAAGCAGAACGTGGGAATTTTGGCATGCAATTCCCAGGTCCGGTTTGCAATTCTGCAATATACCTGATCTCTAATAAACTATACCTTTCTCAACAAGGAGCCAAGGACCACTTGGAGGTCTAGTCTGGGATTCATTCCCACCAAGACCCACAACCATTTTGGCTCAATTTCACTGATACCTGGACTTCCTTGTCCTCAAATTCCTTATTTCGAGTCATGTACCTCAATAGCCCGGGTTGCCCCAGATGTGCTGGAACGGACTTGGAAGAGGCGTGTTGGTGCCGGGCTGGTCTGACCACCTTCTCTGGAGGTGCCACCTTGGAATACGATCAGGGGTTTCCCACCAAAGATGCTCGTGAGGTGAGGGGGCTCTTTGCCCTGGACCACTCGTTTCTACCCAGGAAAAGGAAAACAGCGTCGGTCTGCCAAGTCAGAAATGTTTGGGAAGCAGGACGTCGTGACAAGGGTGGAAGTGCACATTTATCATGCTGGGAGTTACGGCAGATTAGGGATCTGAGGGATCTTTGGCGAGCTGTGAGCTGGCTGGTTTTCTTGCAGACGTTTCATGACCCAACTAGGGGACATCCCCAGTGCTAGAAGGGAGTGGGGACTGTGGAGAGGGGGAGGAAGAGGAGGCAGAAGAGAGAAACGATGAGATCTTGATGCTCTCTGACTTGTTGGTTTTCTTGCAGACGTTTCATGACCCAACTAGGTAGCACCATCAGTGCTAGAAGGGAGTTGGGTTTTCTCTCTCGGTAGCTCCTTGATAGAGTGAAATGAGCTTGGTAGAAAGAACGACCAACTCAGACAAGGCACCAACTGAAGGGTTGAAGTTCTGGAGCCCTGGCTGCTCTCTGAGCTGGCTGGTTTTCTTGCAGATGTTTTTATTACCAAATTAGGTGACATCACCAGGACATCCAGTAACCATCAGGAATAGAAACATCACAAGAAAACCACCAAGCTCAGTGAGCACCAAAGAGCCCTCACTTCAACTCTGAGCTACAAAACATCTCCTCTATCAAATGAAGGGTTTATTTTGCAGCCGAAGCAATGACTAAATTGACCATTTTCAATTCATCCCCCCGCTGTTTCTTTTGTCTGGGAATACCAAGTTTCTGTCTAGTTTTCTGAGCAGGGATGAGTGTTCAACTTTCAGATTTCCCCCTGGAATTTTAGTCATGCTTGAATGGAAGATCCGGATCGTTTCGAAGCATTGAAGACAGCATGAAGCTGTGTTGATCCCGCATCTCTTGGGCCAAAGAGGGCTGCAGAAGTTCTGCCTTATCCAACATCCGTTCTGCCTCTCGTCCCTTTCTCTACTTGGGCCTCTGATGGGGTTGCCTCTTATGGAGGGTCTCCACGAGGCTTCCCACCTCGAGAAGGGGAGGTTTTTGTTGTTGTTTTTACCTGCACTGCAGTGCCCCCCAGCTGTTCATCCAGCTGGACGGTAAGAAAAGCTGAGGTGGTAATCTCGTCTTGGGTGGAATCTGCACCCTGCCTGCAAAGTAGAAGAAGAAGAAGAGAAACTTGCGAAGGGATCAATGCCAATGGACAGAGGAAGACTCTCTTTCAGGCCTTACAAAATATAGATAGTCCACGGCTTACAACAGTTTATTTAGGGACCATCTTAAGCTACAACAGCACTGAAAAAAAGTGATTTATGACCGTTTTCCACCCTTATGGCCATTGCAGAATCCCCATAATTAATTATTATGCCCAGAAACAAAAAAGAAAAGTTGTCAAGGTGAGTTCAGAGCCTGCGTTACTCTCCCTTGGCCATATTTCAAAAGGAGAAGCTGCCTTACCAAGTATAAATGATCTTCCCTTGCTTGCTCCCATGCCTGTAATTGTACAGGATGATATAACTGTCACCACCGTAGAACTGGCCGTAAGTTGCAGGATCCACAGCCACTTTCGCAGAGCCTTCTATTCTCCAGATCTGCAGAAAGAGGGAAAGGAACAAGAGCCGCTCAGGGCAGTTGGAGAAGCAGAAAAGGGGAAATGGCGGGTGGGGGGAAACACGGCTGCTGTTGTGTTTCGTAAGCCCTTGAACTAAATACCCTCTAGACCATTCATTGCAGGGAATCAAAGGCCATCAACAAACCAGAACTTTTGGAGTTAATGAGAAGGGAACCTCGTGGCTTTTCCTGCCTGAGATCTCATTTGAGTTTCGAACAGCTACCGAATGCGAAAGGGGAAGGCCAGAATCAGGGCAAACATCCACTCCGCTGGATTATTACATGTTCTGCTTTTGTGATTCTTCCTCCTTCTATTTTCACTTCTGGGTCTTCAGATCCAGGCTGTTCATGAACACACCCAACACAGAGGAGCCATTCCGCTCTGCCAGCCTACCTGTTTTTCCCCAGTGCCATCATCTTCCATGCCGTGTTGGGCTGCCATGGCTGGCGAGGTGTGCAGTGTGGCTGCATCAAAAGGTATTTGCTCAATTTTGGCCACCTGGCCAGAGACATAAGCCACTCCCAGGCCCTCCGTCTGGTCCCTGTCGTGCCAGTTCTTGAAGAATTGCTTGAACAGGGGGGTCTCCCCGCCCTCTGGGAGGACTTGGACCTGAAAGGAGAGAAAGCCCTAAGCGTGAGCCATGGTGGTGCGGTGGTTAGAAGGCGGTACTGCATGCTACTTCTGCTGACTGCCGGCGGCCAGCAGTTCGATCCTGACTGGCTGAAGATCGACTCGGCTTTCCATCCTTCCAAGGTCGGTAAAAGGAGGAGCCAGGTTGTTGGGGTGCAACAACTGGCCAACGTCTCCCAGGCAGCATCCATGGTTGAGGAGGATCTATTTTCCGTAGATCCTACATTTCACTTTCTAATGGCAGGCGATTACTTCCATCCTTCCATCACTTACCTGGGTGTGTCTTGGATAATTCATCTTGCTGATGAACTCGGAAGCAGTTTTAAGGGCGGCTTTCCTTTCTTCAGAATTGGCATTTCTCCCTGTTATTAACATGGGAGGAAAGAGAGATACGATCATTTGCCAGTTCTTAAGGTAGCTCCTCAAATCATACTGTGATTTAAAATAAAACATATTTATTCTCTTATCACCAAAGATAAAACACAAAGCAAAGAAAAGGAAGAAAAACAAATTAACAAACACCCAACACTAACAACAAAAAGAAAAAGAAAACCCCCAAATATCAAATATATTAAACATGAGAACAAATTCCACCCTGGCTGAACACTGAAAGTCACATCAAGAAATCTAACTTATTCCCCTCCCCTTTCATAACAGGTCTAAAAACAGCTATACTGTGATTTACTCAAACATTTACGATATTACAGTGCCATATGATCACCATTTATGAGGTTCCCAGCCTGATTTGCTTAACGGCTGTGCAATTCACTTAACAACGGCAGTGTGATTCATTGAACAACCATGGGGGGGGGAAGAGTAATAAAATCAGTCACTTCACAGCTGCTTTGTCCAACAACCACAAAATTTCTGGCTCCACTTGTGATCGTAAATCAAGAGCTTTGCAGCCCCCTAAAATTTGAACTCCACAACCCGTCTCCCTAGCACACGTTTGGCTTTCGTTTCCGGATGTACCTTTCCAGACGAAAATCTTGCCGTCTGTGCCGTGGTCCAGAATGAAGCAATCGTCAGAAACCAGGGCTGCCTGGGAGAAGGGGTTCTCATCAGCCACCAAGGAAACCGCCATGTTGCCTGCACCATTGGAGACCTGCAGCAAAAACACAAGCCCAGAGGTCTCTTTACTCACTTGGAAACCAAAAGTTTACACCTCCCTGATCTGGAGTTCTAAACCTTGCTGTCTCTTGTTTCAAAATGAAGCTGAATGAGGTCTACTTTGGAGTAGGCATGTATGATGACCCTAGGTTGGACTTCACGCATTGAATGGGCCGAATAAGACTCTTATAGCACTAGTACTTAGCCCTTAGACTTATATACCACTTCACAGTGCTTTCCAGCCCTCTCTAAGTGGTTTAGAGTCAGCACTTCTCCCCCAATTATCTGGGTCCTCATTTTGTCTAGCTGGGAGGGTTAGGGTTGAGTCAACCTAGAGCAGGTCAGGATCGAACGGTAGGCAGTCAGCAGAATTAGCCTGCAATTCTGCATTCTAACCACTGTGCCACCAAGGCTCTTATAATTTGTTCCCTGATTCCCTTTCACATTAAACCACTGTTCTTGTCTTGAGAAATGATGAATGTTTGCTAGCAGGGCTTATAAATGCGACATCTCTCTCTCTCTCTCTCTCTCTCTCTCTCTCTCTCTCTCACACACACACACACACACACACACACACAACTGGGTGGGATGCAGTTCCTGATGTCTTTCTTGATTTATACCTCCTTGTCTTCCTGGTATTGATTCATCTGTTTTTACTCTAGTTAAAGGAAAGGATGTGCCCCAGCTTCTAGAGGAACAATCTGTTCAGGACTTGGAATTCTGAATCTGGGTGTGCAAAATTTGCACTACTTAAACGTGAGGCCCCTCCCTGCTCTCAGTTCCTGAATATGTCCCCCTGCAGTTATTCCAATGTTACCCCCAACAGCAAGCAAAGGTAGTACAATCTGTAGGGAGAAATTTCGTCACCTGTGTTTAAATAGTGGAGTTTAATTTAGTGGCCCAAAGGTAAATTTTGTATTTGCTCTGATGCGATTCAATTTTTGGCCTGCAGCCCTCGAGACCCAAATATGGCCCTCAGCCAAACCAAATAGGCCAAATTCCTGGCCTCCCAACACCCCATAGGATGTTTGTAGACTTTCACAGCCCACCTCTTGAAGCCCCTGTGTCATAGTTCACCATTTGCTTTTGGTTCTACCTTGTAGAGTTTAGCCAGCCTTCTGTTGGTTGCGTCGGCTTGGGTGTCATCGGTGGTACCTGCTGGCAGAGTGGGTTTGGGTCCCAACACCTGAAAAAACACAGCTATGTCAGCCCTTCCAAGTTATTGCTGTCTGCGGTCTCCATAACTTTCTTCCCCAGATGTTTCCCAAATGAGTTGGGCATGGAAAAATAATGATCAGTTACGATTGTTTTGGGGGCCTCTCCATCAACTTGGTGACCAGATTGATGGCAGTTATAAAGAGGACAAGAAGAGAAAGGAAAGAGGGACCAAACAAAAACTATGGAGAGGAAATTAAATCATCAGTGGTTGGAACAAAAACTACTAAGTTTTTGTTTCTCAAAAAGGGAGGGGAAAAGAGCCACGGGAGAAATCTCTGTCCGCTCAGGACGATGAGGGACGAGTTCTGGAGAAAGGCTCAGAGGGGGTTCAAGTCTACGATGAATAAAGACCTGGATCATCTCGTCACGTTCGGCCCCATCATCTTCAACGAAGACTCTGGCCCGCCCGCTTCTCTCGTTGTCCCGGATGCCCTTGGCAACTTGGGTGGCTTTCAGTCTCTCAAACCGATTGGCGTCAGAGCCGCACCACTGGTGAATGTTCTGCAGGAGATGAAGCAACCCAGGGGGGTCAGTGGGGAAAAGGACAAGGCCAGGGCTGAAGGCGTCTGTTTGGGTACACACAAGCATTGCAAACTGGATGTCTCATGGCAAACAAGCCAGCTCAGATTCTTTGAGGTAGAGGCCCGCTCACCTGTGGGTCAAAGACCGGAATAATTGTTTACCTACCAAGATGGTCACCTGCTACCCGATGGGGGAATATTTCAAACTCATTTTGAAAAGCCAGATGGGAATTTCCCCCCCTTTGTTAATGAAAGTGTTGTGTATTCACCACGCTCCTAATAAAAGATAGAGTGGAGTGGAGTGGAGTGGAGTGGAGTGGAGTAGAGTAGAGTAGAGTAGAGTAGAATAACAGAGTTGGAGGGACCTTGGAGGTCTTCTAGTCCAACCCCTGTTCAGACAGGAAACCCTATACCATTCAGCACAAATGGCTGTCCAGTCTCTTCTTAAAAACGTCCCGTGTTGGAGCATTCACAACTTCTGGAGGCAAGGAGTTCCATTGATCAAATGTTCCCACTGTTAGGAAGTTTCTCCTTAGTTCCAGGTTGCTTCTCTCCTTGATCAGTTTCCACCCATTGCTTCTCCTCCTCCCTTCAGCCGCTTTGGAGAATAGCTTGTCTCCCTCTTCTTTGTGGCAACCCCTGAGATATTGGGACACTGCTATCAAGTCACCCCTGGTCCTTTTTTTCGTCAGATTGTGAGTTTTTCTTTCTGTGACTTCCCCCAAATATGTTTTATGGCTTCCGCAGCCGGGGAAAGACCACATCTTCAACATCATGTAATTTTTGCGCCCGATGCCCAAATCCCATTGCGAATGACCCTATGGAGCACTTACACTGCCCAGATCCAGGATAAAGCAGTCGCCCCTGTTGAAGCTGTCCCAGCTGACGGGCACCTCCGTTGCCCGTGTGGTTCTCCTGCCTTTGACTTGCAAGAGTCTCTGGACCGTGACTTCGTTGGGCACCACGTGTCGGAAGCCCGAGGCCACCCCGCCGGCCTAGAACAGAAGAGAAACAAATGACAAAGATGACCATCAACGCATCTTAAGTCAGATCTATGGGAAACATCTGGATGAGATGAGATTTCCATCTAGGACCAAAGAGAACTGCGTTATTGGTTCCCCTTGGATCAGGGCTATTTGCTAACAGGGTTCTAGAAGAGCACCACTGAGCAAGATCTCGAGCAGGCACCTACTTTGTACTTCAGTCCCGATTTGAAGTATCCTAGGAAAGTGGATGACTCGTGTCCTTGCACTTCCCGGTGTTGGATCGCCCTTCCCCCAAGGTAGTCATCCAGTTGTACTGTGAAAATGGCGGCGGATCCGCTTTCATCCTGGCTGCACTCGTTCCCTGGGAAACGGAGAAGGAAAGAAGCCAAAGAGTTGGAAACCTGCAAGCGGGCTCATCTAGTCGGCCTCAAGTCAAGAAGGATACGTGGTGATTCTTCCAAGTTGAGTTGTTTATTGTTTCACACCTACAGACAGAATCTTGCCAGGCTGAAGACTCAACTACCTGCACCTCTAATACACTCTGGGAACTATTAGGAAGGGGAGGACCTCACGCTCTCTCTCACACCCATATCTGAGCTGAGCTGCCTCTTATGGCTTCTCTCCCTCCTGGAGATCTTGCTCCATTCCATCACATCCACTCCCAGAATCCCTCAGCCACCATGTGTGGACAAACTCCCAGCATTCATCGGCCACTGTGTGCAGCCTTCAATTCCCAGAATTCCCCACTCCATGTGCAAACCAAGAATGACCTGTAATGATTCTTCAGTCCTCAGAGATTGGAGTCCCACAGAGCTCTCCTTACCTAGCCAGAAGTGAAGGTCGTATTGCAGATTCCCATTACGTTGCCGGATTGTGTTAAGGATCACATAAGCATCCCCCACAAAAAAATCACCATAGAGGTTTCTCGGCACTGGGACCAGGTCGAACTTCTCAATCCTCCAGATCTGAAGGCCCGGTTGCTTGCCAGCATTCAGGAACTCGGCGTGTTCCACCATGCTCACCGGCTGAGAGAGGAGAGAAGGGGATAAAAATGTTTAAAATTAATTGGCATATGTGACTCACTCACTTTCTTCCGCTGCTTCCAAAGTGAAAGGCAGCGTCTTATTTCCAGACAGCCTGTCCTTAAAATAACAAAAGGCAATTAATTTGACCTCGCGAATGAAGGCAAAATATATATATATCATGTTCACTTAATGACCCTGTAATTCCTGGCGGGGTGAACTGAATGGAGCTAGCAGAGTGTTTACCGGCCGGATGCCTTTCCTGTCACCAATGCGGAGTTTTGTTCAGCAGATATATTCTCGTTGTGCCCGGAGAGAAATGCTCTCTCTCTCTCTCTCTCTCTCAAGCAAGGAAGTCCAGTTGCCTTTTGAAAAAGCCCCTTTGGGACAACCGGCACCTGGAGGATCTCTGTAGACACTGAATTCCAAGAGGTTGCATTTCTTTAGCAATGAGGGGGAACAAAATTGCGGCGACTGGTCAAACTCAGCGAGCGCCATCTGGTTCAGTGCTTCCAGTCCAAATCCCCAAGTGGCCTCCTTCTTTTTTTTTTCTCCTGATCCATTGACAGAATTAGATTGCCAAGACTTCAGTCTGTCTTTTGGCCCGTCCTGCCTCGAGATTCCAGGCATTGGGGACACAGGACTCTGTGCGAGCTAGAGATAAGCCCTGAAGTCCAGCCCTCTTCTCCCTTGTCGCCCTGCTAAAATTAAGGTACAAGTTGACTCTGTTGCAGGAATGCTGGGACCGAGCAGACGCTTCCCGCTAAAACTCCGTTCCCCACGACCAAACCCTACTTTATTGAACGCACAAGTGTCAAGGGTCTTGTTGTTGTTGTGTTGCTTCGGTGACTCAAGGAAAGGCACAAGAGAAACAAAGGTGCAGTTCTGTCACCGTCCTAGAAAGAATTGACAGCTTTCTGCTCATAATGGTTCTCAGGACGTCAGTAACCTTCTCAGGCTGGCAGGGAGGTGGCAGACTCACCAAACCAGTTTGGTTGTGAGATGAACAACAAAAACTCTTTCAAAAAGAATGAGTTGGTTTCACTATAGACATTCCTTCCAGTCTCGTTGTTCTTCGAGAGTTTGTTTTGCATCAACCAAAGGGGTAGAAAATGACAGGTAAATTTCTCACCTATTAGAATTAGAATGAATGAGCTGGAAGGGACCTTGGAGGTCTTCTAGTCCAGCCCCCCCCCCCTTAAGGAGGAGAACTTATACCATTCCGGATAAGTAGCTGTCCAGTCTTGAAAACCTCCAGTGATGGAGCAGCCACAATTTCTGGAGGGAAGCTGTTCCACTGGTTAATTGTCCTCCCTGTTAGGAATTTTCTCCTTAATTCCAGGTTGCTTCTCTCCCTGATTAGTTTCCATCCGTTGTTGGTGGTTTTGCAGTTGTCTTGGTCTATAGCCCTTAGATAGCTGTGGAGCTCTCCCCTCACAATCAGGAGGTTGTGAGCTCAATCCTAGGTAGAGGCAGATATTTGTCTCTCTGGGCACAATGAGAATATATCTGCTGGGGAAAAAATTCCACATTGGCAACAGGAAAGGCACCCGGCCACTAAACACTCAGTTCCATTCAGTTACCCAGATTCCACCCCGCAAGGGATTATGGGGTCATTAAAAGATTTAGACAGCTGGGGAATACAGGTAGTCCTCGACTTATGACCACAATTGAGCCTCAAACTTCCACTGCTAAGCAAGGCAGTTGTTGAGCCCCATTTTATGACTTTTCTTGCGACAGTCGTTAAGCGAATCACTGCAGCCATTAAGTTAGTAATACGGTTGTTAAGTGAATCTGGCTTCCCCACTGACTTTGTCAAAAGGTCGCAAAAGGAAATCACACGACCCCAGGACGCTAAGACCATCATAAATAGGAGTCGGTTGCCGAGTGTCCAAATTTTGATCTCATGATCCAGGGCGTGCTGCAATGGTTGTGTGAAAAACGGTCGTAAGTCCCCCTTTTCAGTGCCGTCGTAACTTTGAACAGTCACTAAAGCTTGTAAGCCACCCAATCCCATAATCCTATAACCACATACCAGAATTCCCATCAATGCTACCAGATTAAATGGAGTTAAACTCCACATAAGCGGGTATCAGATTCCGCGAAAGGTTCCACCGAAGTTTCTGAATGTGTGGCTTTCAAAAAAGCAAAATCCACCCTTTGCTTCTGGCTGCTTCTAATTGGCATTTTGAATGCAGCGCCAGGAGGGCAAGGAAGTGCCAATTATTTCTGGAAATTGGTGCCTCAAATTAAAAACAGAACCGATAATGAAAACAAGGCGGCCTCCTGCAGGCATCCCTGGCAAGAAAGGCAGGCTTTGATATGGGGCTTTGTGGTACCCCAGAAAAATATGTGCATATTGTGTGCGATCAGATCCGCAACCTTGCCAGTTTGAGATCTCTAGAAGTTTCTAAAGGGTGAGAAGGACTGTTCCAGCCTGTTTGGATTAAAAGCTCGGGTCTTATGAGAGGGGACGGAAAGAATGCAAGGAATCTGAGCTTTTTTTAAAAAGGCAGCTGAAGGGCATCACACAAAAGAGGCCACGGAGACAAGGATCAAGAGCTATTCGGTCACGTTGGGGAAAACAGGAAACAGGAAGGAAGGGTTATAAGCGAAGGGATTTTAAGTTTTAAGGGATTGGGGTTTGGAGAGAGAGATAGATAGATAGATAGTTAATCTATCTATCATCTAACATATTTTTATCATCTATCTCTATCTACTGTTTCTCTCTCTCTCTCTCTCATCTATCTATCTATCTATCTATCTATCTATCTATCTATCTATCTATCTATCTATTTATCTCTCTCTCTCTCTCTCTCTCTCTCCTACCTACCTACCTCCCCACCCATCTGTAAAAGTCATAGTATGTTACCGATTCACCAATTGACACTGACTTGGCAAACCCTTGGCCAATGTAAGCATTAAAATGCAAGCTCAGAGCCGGCTCCCACCCCCTGCCCTCAATCGGCTAATCCCAAAACACTGCTGTTGCTTTTAGTGCAAGCTAATGATCCGGTCCAGAGTACTTGAGCATTGAAAGTCCTTGTCACTCACCCCAGCCAAGAGCAGGACCATCAGCGAGAGGAGAGGAGAGGCTCTTCCCAAAAGCATCATGTTATCTCTCGTAGGTTTTGGCTGAATTAAACCCACCCACTGCACGGAAGCCTTGAACAAGCCCCGTCTTCTTCTCAGCCTGCCTTAGAACCGAGAGACGGAGGGAAGGGAAGGCTTTGCTTTTTATCTCCTATCGGTGTGCAATTCTTGGCCGGGATTCCACCCCGGGCACGCCCAACTCCAGCTGAAACGCACAGCTGGATCCGCCTGTGTGTGTACTGGACAAAGAATCAAGGTGCACTGAAGGCCAACTCCCCGCAGGCTATCCAGGCAGAAAGCCAACCGCTCTGTATTACTCCCAGGCTGAAACCCCTGAGAAGAGACGGGAATTGCCAACAAGTTATGTAAGGCCAGGAGGCGGCTTTTGTTTGCCGATTGTTTGTTATTGTGGAGCAAAACACAGGCATTCCTCGACTTAGAGCAGCTCATCTAGTGACTGTTTGGAGTTATAATAGCCGGAGCTCTTAGACTTATATACCGCATCACGGTGCTTTTTAAACCCCTTTCTAAGTGGTCTGCAGAGTCAGCCTCTTGCCCCCAACAATCTGGGTCCTCATTTTACCGACCTCGGAAGGACAGAAGGCTGAGTCAACCTTGAGCCAGTCAGGATCGAACTGCTGGCTGTCGGCAGAGTCAGCCTGCAGTCTAACCACTGCGCCACCATGGCTCAGGGATAGATAGATAGATAGATTAGATGGACAAATAGATATAGATATGAGATAGACAGACAGACAGACATAGATATTTAAATAAATAAATAAGAAAGGTGGGATATAAATAAATAAAAACTGGGACATCTGAATAGAGCAAAATGTTAGATGTTGGGTTTAGGCCACACAAATAATTTGTCTCCCTGGATCAGAACTAAAACCCCTATTTGTACCTCCTTTCTTCCCCTCCTCTAGGGGATAAGAGTGGAACACTGTGTGAATTTTGCTCCATTGCTTTCCTCCAAATTAAGGAAAGTACTGCATGTTTTTCAGAAAGAAGCTACTCCATCCGTTCTCTCGGGACTCCCTTCCCGAACTGAAGCAAAACATTTTTGCTTGAATGTCCTCCCAACTTTGCTTTTGGGCCGAGCTTCTTCTCCAGCCCTTTCCCACAGAAGGGCCAGCGATGGTCCCGGGAGGGGCTATTGCGCCATGGGAGAAAATAAGATGAGTTACCAGCAGCCGTAATGATGGAGAAACCAAACACCTCCCTCATGCTCTGTGGGAAGTTAACCCTAACCTCAAGCGTCCTAGCTAACCAACACGTTTGAGAAGGCTTGTTCTTCTTCCATTCGATTGTGTCTGGATCTCAGGTTGCCTGAACAAGTCCTTGTGTTTTTCAGGAGTGTTTTGATATTGTCTCTATCCTGGGGCTGAGAGGAACTGACTGGCCCAAGATCACCCAGCTGGTTTTGTACCTGAGGCAGGATTAGAATTCATAGTGTCTTGGTGATTGACCCAAAGTCACCCAGAGGGCTTTCATGCCTACATCAGAACTAGAATTCACTGTCTCCTGGCCATCGGCCCAAGTCACCCAGCCGCCTTTCATCCTTAGAGTGGGACTAGATCTCACTGTCTCCTCGTGATTGGCCCAAAGTCGCCCAGCTGACTTCCACGCCTAAGGGCAGGACTAGAACTCCCGGTCTCCTGCACCAAATTGGCTTTCTTGCTCATGTTCATGGAAATAAAGTATTTATTTTTAAAAGCTGACTCATGCCTGTGGCTCTAACTCATTCATTGTTGCACAGTTTGGCTAGGTGCTGTGGAATGTTTTCAAATATCCCAATAGCCCAGTTAGAAGAAGAGAGCCAGTATGGAAAAAAAAACAGCTCTCGGGGAGAACATTGTGATTTAACATGTTGGATCCTTTCCAGGTAGCTCTATTCGTGACTGGGAACA